GGGCCTGGCATACGGCAAAAACTCAATGTTAGCTGTGATGGTGGTCATGTCCCGACACAGAAGATAAAATTGGGAGTATCCTTTCCTGCCACTGAAGAGCTCACAAACAATGCGGTAGACAGAGACACAAATGCACCATTGCTGTTCAGAGCCAGGAGCAGGAATCAAAAAAAGCACTGATTCACAGCAAGGCCAAGTAACTCACTTCACCTCTCCAAGCTCCACTTACCTGAAAAATGAGAAACTTCGTGGTACCAGCAGAGCACTGTGCTCAGCAGGGGATGAGGAGATTGAAATCATGTATGCATTGTGCAGCTCTGTACTAGAAGTTACTTTTTTTTTTTGGTACTGGGGATTGAACTCAGGTCCTTGTGCTTGCACAGCAGGCTGCAAAGCCACTGAGCTAAATCCCGGCATAGCTCTGTACTAGAGAAGTTCATGGTGATGCACAGGTGGAAAAACAGACATTTAAAAATTAGAATTAGAAGGCAGCACATGAGATGAGCAGAGACCAGCACCAAGAGACCAAGTAGCAACATGAATTGTTAGTGACAGAGGGCAGGACAGGATGCTGAGCATTTCACATGAATGACCTCCATCCTCACCAGACCCGTGGAGATGATAATTCTAGCTGCTTTCTTAACCCAGGAGTGAACAAAGGCTCAAAGAGACAGCATGGCCTTCGGAGGCCACACAAGCAGGATGTGACCAGTGTCCCCACCGAGTTGTTGGAGCTTGGACCCACTACCTTCCGCCACCTCTCTGAAACACATAACCCATTTCACTGAATCTTCTAAACATGTCAGAATCTGGTGACCAAGGGGGGTTCCCAGCTTGATGAGGACAAAGGTCTCAGCTTTGACTGTCAAGCAGCAGAGAGGGATTTGGAATCTGCACATCACCCAGGATCCCCAGCCTGGGGTCAGGGCAGTTTCTGGGTGGGCTCCAGATTTCAGACCGTGTGTCTATAAAGAGTTCCAATTTGAACTCCCTTGGCGCACATCCAGGAATGCTGATTAAAGCAGTTTTTCTACCTATGCTTCAGACAGCGTTTCTTTCACAAAGAAAAAAAATGAACTGATATCTGGCCATGATGCTTTTATGGTTTTTCCCCCTCTTAAAATGAGTATTTTACAAACCGGAAGTTCCTCCGTATTTTGAAATTAAACTCAACAGCCCAGTGATTTCGTCTTGCTCTGCTACTGTAATTCACAGTGACATCTAGTGGCCATCATGGAGAACTGCAAACCCAAATGAGCCGCGGAGAAACAGGGCTTTGAGACCACACATCGGTGGAGTTCCAGCCTAGGTCCTCTCTCCAAGGTGCTGGGCAGATTGGAGGTGATGTGGCTCCTCCCTCCTGCACCCACCCTCCACACACCTTGCCTGTCTTCCCAGAGGACTCAGCCATGTCCTTTCCCCTACCTGGGCCCCTCTGCTGGCAAGCGTTAAGACTGCTCAATCCAGAGACTGGATTTTCTGCCCACTATCAATGACTCACTTGGGCTTTGGGTAGAAACAGCCAGCCTGGCAGATGACAGGAAAAGAGCATCCCTCGGGGACAGGCGTCTGCAGGCAGCTCTCGGGAGGGTGCCCACCTCCTTGTCTCTCGCCTCCCCTGTCCCTCCCTCCTCAACCCCAACACCACCTGCCTCAAACCTGATCGTTGCCTCTCCCTGAACTGCCATAGTATCTTGTTAAAGCAAAGCCACATCACTCTCTTTCTCAAAGTCATCTAAAATCTGACATCACTTTCAAGATAAAATTCAAATCCAACAATGTGATACATGCAACCAAGAGTGATATTCAAAACCACACAGCTTTCAGGCCAGGGATTTAGCTCAGTGGCACCGAGCCTGCCTTGCAAGCGCAAGGTCCTGAGTTTGATCCCTGGTACCAAAAAAAAAGAAACAGAACCAAACAGCTTTCTCTTGAATGTCACTGGACACCAGCCAACAACCAGAACCCTGGGCACAGCGGGGTTGGGCTGGACAGGAATGCTCCAGTAGCTGGACAGTAGGGAAGTACGGTGCTTCTGGGGCTTGGGTCAGTGGCTGTCGTCCAACCAGGATGGATGCAGTGGGATAGGCTCACCACCAGTGCAGCCACACGGTGGCTGCCTGCGTCAGCTCTGGTCATGACCTACTCCCAACTGTCCTGTCCTCCTCTCCAAGTGCCACACTTCAGGGACACAGAGGTGGCCTCTGCAAATGCAGCCTCCTTTGCCTGGAACACTCAACTCGGTGTCCTCTCTAGTTCCTGTCCTGTCCTCTGAGGGTCCTGAGACAGCTGTTCCTGACCTCTGGGGAGGAGTCACCCTGGGACCCTAGTGCCCTGCCATAGTCACACTATCCTCAACTGCAGCTCCTTACAGCTTCTCACTGTCTCCAAACCTCCCAGCAGGAGCACTGGCCTGCAGCAAACAATCAGTGTGCATTTTGCCAAGTGAGCTAAAGTGAACCTCTGAGTCAAAAGGACCCTGCAGCCCATGACTTGGGCAAAGCTATGTGGGCATCGCAGTAGCAGCAGTGACTCGATGCCACTTCTGTGTGGCACACAAGCACTCACAGCACTCAGGACAGTCTCCACAATCGGTGGCTGTGCATACTTCCCAGTAAGTTGTGAGCCTTTGCTATACAGCGTATTCAAGAATATTTAACAATTTTACCCATGCCTACTATTATGACTTGTGACTAGATGTCCCCTCAAAGCCTCGTGCACTCATAGGTGGGGCTTTTCAGAGCTGGCTCGATCTAGGGTGTGTGATATTGGGATTAAGAGTGTGCAGTACTGAATTAGTCTACTGACTGGAAATGGCACAGTTCTGGGTGTGGCTGAATGGATTAACTGCAGACAGAAGCCCCACCCTGGGTGTGGGTGGCATCGCACAAAAGGCTGGTAGCCTGGATGGGATGAAGAGGAAAGGCAGGTTGCTGCTGCTGCTGCCACCTGCTGCTTCCTGTCTGCCATGCCATGAGCTCTTTCTCCTCGGTGTTGCCCCTCTGCTATGCTGCCCTGCCTTGGAGCCAGCTGGCTATGGACTGAAACCTCTACATAATAATGATATACGTGGAAGTCTCAGTGGAAGGCTGCTTGAGGGGCTATGTCCATCTGGTCCCTGGACAGATGTCCACAAACCAGCCTTGCCTGGAAGCCACCAGAGTTCTGGGTTCCCATCAAAGCCTGGTTCACAGGCCAAAAGCAGGAAGCTGTCCTAGAGACCATGTATTCTAATCTCTATAGGAGAAGAGAGGGAGGGAGGGAGGGAGAATGGCTCTCCATGGCATCCTCTGTAAATGACAAATAAAGATCTACAAGAAGGTCTAGGATGGGGGTCCTCGAAGGGGACATTTAGCGATGTCTACAGACAGCTGTGGTTGCCACCAGTAGAGGATGCTACTGTTTCTTAGTGGACAGAGGCCAGGGCTGCTGCCCACAGGACAATCCACTCAGCAAAGAACTGGCCACAAATCCAAGGGTGCTGAGGCCAGGAGCCCTTGACCTACCAGGGCTGGCCCAGCTTGTGCTGCCGCTCTGAGCTGTGTGACCTTGAGCTGTGTGACCTTGAGTGCTGCCTTCTGCATACAAGGTATGAAGTTGCTCACTTGTTGGTTTGTCCATCCATTAACAGATATTTCTCAAGAAATGGGGAGAAGCAATGAAAAAGGCCCCACATAACCCGAGAGTAGAGAGAATCAAACAGCTGAGTGGTCAATGCCCTTTACAACCCCGCAAGGTGTCCAAGACCCCAGGCAGTCGAGGTAACGTGCAGATGACACCGTGACCCCTGTCACATACCCCCTCCCTTGGGAAGAGCTTGTTCTGCAGCTGCCGACTATGCTTTCTCTGTCCTGAGTCACATGCAGTTTTTTTTCCCCTGTTTTAACCTCTGAATGACGTGGCTACGAGTGAGCCAGCAGTCAGTGGCACTAATTCCTCATGGTGCCCTTAACCCTCCTCGATGGTCCAGTCCAGAAACCACTGGAGGGTTGTTTATGGGAGGCCTGCGGGTGCCCCTGTGGTCAGAAAGCTTTCCTCCCTATACAGGAGTGAGCACGCTTGGGTCTTCTTACTGGTAAAGAACATCTTGCCCAGCCTGGTGGGGCACCCAGACCTGCCCACCTCCACCTTGGACTGGCCTTATGGAGACAAACCAGCAGCCCTCATCCTGTCCCTAGGGAAGGGAGGGCTTCTCATCCAGGCTGCACATTAAATTAGCAAGTTTTTGAAAATACTGATCCCTGGGCTCTACTTCAAATAAATTACCAAGAATCCCTGGAGACGAGTCCAAGCCCAAGCATCTGTATTAAGCCCCACCCCCAGAGATGCAGATCCAAACACCCCAGGCACTGAGTGTTCTCATCCTTCGGGTGGTCCAAAGGTGCAGCCAGGCGGAGACCCACTGGTGAAAGCCCTCCCTGCACACCCAAGGAACTGCTGTTTCTCCAACACCCCTGAGCCATGGGGTTCCCCGAGGCTGCACATGGAGCCATCTGAAGATGGCTGGACGCAGGCTGCATCCAGACAGGAGGCCTGAATTCCTGTGCTGGGCCCCAGCATCAGTAGTTACTGAAGTTCCTCAGGATGGCACCAACACATGTCACACCGAGCCATGAGTCAGTCCAGCCAGGGGTGGGACCTCCACTCCCAAATACAGCAGCACCTGATGGCAACGTCTGCATCCCTGAAAGGGGTCATTGTGCCCAGTGGCCAAGCTTCATGTATGTAATCACATGTGTGTCACTGTGGCCTCCTTCACCTCAGTCTGTTCACTGGTGACCTAAGCCTACCGCCGTATTCTAACACCGCACATATCACAGGCACAAAGAAATAGAACGATACACTGACTTTCCAATCGTGCACTAGCACCATGACTGTGCCAGGTTAAGAGGCAGAAAAGAAGGTTTTCTGCAGCCTGAAACTCATCACAAAACAAGAGATTACCTGTGACACAGAGGAACTAAGTCAGAAACAGAAATAAAAATGAGATGTTTTCCAGACAGGGACATTTTTAATTCCAAGGCAAGGCCTTGGCCCATAGCTACCCACCACTGTACAGTGGAGGGCAAAGAGCTGGGCCATGACATCTGTTCCTGCAGCTTTCTTACATACAGCTCCCGGAAGTAAGTGTCCTGGTAGGACCTGCTGTGGGTCAGCCTCCAAGCAGGGGCTGCTGAGTTCTTCAGGATTTGGTTATTGACAAAAAAGCCCCCACTTTGTCATTTCCAATGCTATTTGTTCCCAAAAGCTGTGTGAACCCCCCATCACCTGTGTCGCCCTGTGACCTCCCCTACCATGGACTCAGTGATCTTAATACAGACTTTGTTTTAATCTTGTGTTCAGAGAGCTCTCCACTTTACCTAGAGCAGCTCAAGGCATGATGGCAATGTCCTTTAAAGCTGCATCTGATAGAGCCAAGCCCAGGAGAACAGGTATGTGCTGACATGTCACTGTGTGTGATGGCACACAGCCAGCCCCACGGTTCCAGTGTCCTCTGCCGGCTGTCCACGCAGGTCCAGCATGGTGGACGAGGCATCCCTCGGGTTCCCAGTGACCAACATCCAGTAGTTCTTTGGCTTCTCAGCTCTGTGTGAATCCAGATGTGTGTGAGCAGCAACCTCAGCTTCCTTCCCAAAATAGGTCCTGCAGCAGTAAAGAGTTAACTATGGTGGGAAACTGAGTCAAACAGCCACGGCTTTCCTTCCATCTCAAAGCACCTACTGCAGCAGGCTGCTATGTAGGCTTTGGGGTCTCTAGGACAAGACATGTTTTCAGGAAGGAGTCACCCTGTGGGGTTAGGGTTAGGTTTTGAAGGTCCACTTCTTGCTAAAGTCCTCCTGGCGGGAAGGACCGGTGTAAAGAAAGGGCCCCCAGTGAGTCTTCGTAGAACCACCATTCCAGGTGGCAACATCTCACCCCACAGGACATTTTTCCCCATCTGGACGGTCTTTAAACTGAACATCTGTGTTGGTACAGACATTCCTCGTTTAACAACAGAGCTCTGGTCCTGCAACTGGATCATTAAATAAATTGGTCGCTAAATGAGGAATCGTATATTTTGTACATTATAATATTCAGAACAAAAAATTAGTCAAAGGAAACTCCAGCTTGATGACTGCTTTTATTTGCGTAACTTTTACTCACAGTGCTGTAATGTATGACAACATAAAAGTATACAGTACTGTACTGTACAGTGCCATGAGCAAAAATTACAGGAATGTATAAACAAGGTATACTATACAAAAAAAGACACTGAGGCCTATAAACAAGGTGTACAGAACTGTACCAAAAAAAATGGGTCACAAGTCAGCAGTGAGCTGTAAATCCAAATAATTGTAAAACAGCTAGTCGTTAAAGGAGGAATAGCTGTACTTCCCCAACACCGCCGAGCGTAGCATTTGCTGTTACCTTCAATACACTGACCTTAAGAAAAGGTGCCGGTGGGCTGCCAGGCCCCGATTTGTGTGACGGTGATAGATGAGAATTTTTTCATTTGCCTTTACAGATTAGAAAAAAAAAGTGTGCCATTAGCATTCTGAATTAAGACCTCCAATTTCCTATAAGCAAAAAATACAGAAGTGTATGATATATTAATTTCAATTTAATATATATGGAATAACTTGGAAGCCAACCCATAATAAATTTGATTAAATACATTATGATAGATATTTGTATGATAGAGTGATCATTCAAAATCATAATGGAGATCTTTGACAATGTGGGGTATGGTCAATGGTGTTAATAAGTTGAAAAATGTATATTCATAATGTTCTGTTCTATAAAAAAAGAAAGAAAACGTCAAAAATCCACACATGTACGTCTGAATAGAAAAAGAAACAGTGAATAACAGCGGCTGTCTCTGGAAGGTGCAATTATTATTGGTGATTTTCATTTTTGTGTGTGCTTTTTGACTTTATAAGCAAACATACATTTGTTTATAATCAGAAAAAAGAAACATGACTTTAAAAAGAAACACGACTGCTCCTCCCTGGTGGCAGAGAGGAGCAGCCCGGCCAGAAGGAGCTGGTGGGAGGCCATTGCTGGGCCAGGTTCCTCCTGCAGAGTAGAGCAAACCTCGCTGGATGTCCACACCATCCAAGGCCTGTCTGTGACCACCCCACAGTGGGTCAAGACCAGAACAGAGCCTCTTTAATAAATGGTGCTGGAAAAATTGGGCTTCAACTTGCCAAAGATTAAAACTAGACCTATACCTCTCACCATGCACTAAACTAAAATCAAAATGGATTAAAGATCTAAATATTAAAATAGAAACTCTGATTCAGTTGGAACAGAGGTTAGGTAGAACCCTTG